AAGGAGCCCTCTTTATTTACAAACAGTTTATTTAGGTTTTTATTTCATTTTATGTTCTTGCAAAGCTTGATTGTTGTCTGTTGATAATTTATTTTACTCTAGAATCATGAAAATATAAATGGTTGTCAAATGGGTCATTCTAGAAAACATCCATACCACCCCCACGGAGGAAATAGGAAGTTAACCCCCTACCCCCTTCGGATGTCCTAGTACATTTACTATTATCAGAGGGAATTTTTTCTCCCCTCCCCCTCCGGACAGCAGAAATTTCCTCTGTGGGGAGAGTATGGATCTTTTCTGGAACGACCCAATAAAATTCATTATTTGGGATACCGAAATGTAAACAAAGCCTTTGTTTACATACAGACTGTACCGCATCTTTAAGGTCTATATGACGGCTAGAAAAAGAGTAAATACTTATTTCACAATTAAATTATTTGGCTGTACTCCTTTAGTCTTTACATTTGCCGGTCTATATATTTGGTATTGCCCATTGACATTGCTTTTTAGTATTTTTGCACAAGTAAACATAACAAATCCTACAACCTGATTGGTCAAATTTGATGTAATGTATTAAGCTGTTTATATGCTTCAGTCATTTGAAACCCCGGGACATAGCGGGAAGTTAACACTGACCAAGTGTTAGGGACTGGTCATAAAGTAAAAGGGGGGATGGGCTGGGAAAAATAGGGGGGTGGGTCACTATTTTTTAGCACGGTTGAAGGGGTGGGCCATGTAAACCATGACTGAAATAATTTGCTCATGGAGAAAGGCATGAAATGGCATTTTAGGACAAAATTCTAATTTAGTTTTTCCAAGCAAAGATATTCCAAAGAGACCATCCTATCTTGCTCTTCAGTGACACTGAGAAGAATGCGTCGATTTCAAGTACCCAGTACATGTACTGTAGAATTTGAAGTGTTGCCTTATTGGGACTGGATTACATTTGGGAGACTGTGAAATTGTAGTAATTGTGTCACTGTTTATAAGGTTAATTTCTGTTTAAAAAAACTCCTCAAAATGCAGGAAATAGCTTATCTGAGCTTCAAGAAATCCAAAATTTTCTGGGGGGTATGCTCCCAGAACCTCTAGAAGCTCGCACCTTCGGTGGTCAACTCAGTTGTCTCAGAATCCTAGTTACAGCCTGATCTGCTGCCCTATGACAGTCATATACTTATCAGTTAAACCATGCATATATATGCTGGTAGCTGCAGTGATACAGACTTGCTGACTGGAACTATCCAGGTCCCCCGCTAAATATGTTCCCTCCAGTTACACATCCTTAAAAGAGGCCCTCAATTTTTATTGCACCATTTGAATAGCTATTGAGTATTGTAATAGAATTATTTGGCAACAGAAAATAGAACACTCATCTTTTGCCTTTCTGAAAGGGTGGGTCATAATTTTTCAGCACTAATTTAAGGGTGGGCCACAAATTTTCGTGCAGCTATTAAGGGGTGGGCTACCAAAAGTGCAGACACCAAATATATGATTTCCCCAGCCCCCCCCCCCTTTTACTTTATGACCGGTCCCTTAAAAAACATTAATTCCCCCGCCCCTGGGGCAAACTGTTCTGTTAAAACCCCCCGTACAGCCCGGCTTCAGTATATCTAAACTATAAAATACAAGACAAATTCCACATCATGCATGTATTTGTAAAGCACTTGAAACTATAAAGGACTTGAACTATAAAGGACTTCACCTGAACAAAGAAAGAACTTCGGTTTTGCAACAAAACTTATTTAGTTTCAAGTGCTTTACAAATACATCATGCATGTATTTGTAAAACACTTAAAACTACATATAAAGCACTTGAACTATAAAGGACTTCACCTGACTTTGGTTTTGCAACAAAACTTATTAGGGTTTGTAAATACTATTTCTGATTGACTGAATCCTGATACTATTAAGCCTGTCTTTCCTAATTTGCGGGGGTTTAAGATGGCAGCACTTAATGTGAGAAGTCTAATTGGCCACATTGATATGAACTGCGGATTTTGGCTTGATGCTAGTATACACGATAATGAGATACACATTTCTGACTATGAAATCGTACGGCGTGACAGGTCTATGTGTAGTGCTAATGGAAAACGTATGGGGGCCAGAGATATCTTATATACACTAGATATTGCATCTAATTATTCTGCAATTCAAAAATTGAAGCCGTGATTGCAGTCTCAGGTCGTTCCCATGAAATGAGAAGATTCGTATATTTTCTATTTCTTAAACACGGAACTTAAACATGAAGTTAATCCTATTCCAAATACGTTTTTAAACTATTCAAATGATGAAAGTTATTGTTGTTTTTAAGCGTTTATTACCAAGTTGGAACGACCAACATGGCCGCCATCTATTCAAATGGGGGTAACCGCAGGAATATTCTTGGCTTCAATTTTACTAAAAGAGATGCGCTATCTAGTATATATAAGATGTCTATGATGGGGGCGTTTGCTTCTATGTGCGCTCTAGCATAAGCTTCTCGCCTCGCCTGGATCTGTCTAGCCATCAACTAGAAAATTTGTGCATTGAAATTCGAAAACCTAGTTCTAAGCCATTCATTGTTTCGACTTGGTACAGGCCGCCTGATTTGACTAACGATAAATTTTCTTATTTCGAGTCGTTTATTGGTAGGCTTGATTCAGAAAATGTCGAATACATCTTTTAGGCGATCTAAATTGCGACCTTGGCGCATCTGTTTTGGACCATAACTCTAGGTCATTTACCGACATTGCTGACTTATATGGTATGCATCAGCTGATAAATGAACCCATACGTATTACTGAGTCATCCTCGACTATAATCGATCACATTTTTACTAGTGCTCCAGATAAGGTTGTTTTCTCTGGTGTTTCACATGTCAGCATTAGTGATCATAGCTTAATTTATGCTTTTCGTAAGCTTTCAACAGGTATTTACAATAAAGGTCATTCTAACGTGACATATAGAAAATTTAAAAACTTTGACCTTGATAGTTTTCAGTCTGACATTTGTACACAGAATTGGACTGCTCTAAACAACTTTAACGATCCAAATGATATGTGGCGGGTTTGGAAAACACATTTAATAATCTTGTTTCTAAAACTTTCACCTTTGTTGTTCATAACTTATTATTCATTTTTATTTCTCAAGGATATATACAAAAGGTTAATTTAATTAAATTTGCAACGTTTCGGACATATTAAATGTCGGAAAGTGAAGTGCATAGTGACGCGCGCCGCGCGTCCAGGAAATGGCATTTCAGAGACTCTAAATTTAAAAATTTCCTCGGGCCTTCGGCCCTTGCTTTCAGTCCCCCAATCAAAAAGAGCTTCCTACGGCCCTGATTTGAGTTACCGGTCTTCCGCAACTTCCAGATTGAATTTCCGTCAAGTATTCGAGGTCGGTGTTTAAATACTGCATATAGCTATCAACTACATGGCCCTACAGATTAGTCATCAAGTCTACCTCAGCTTGCTGTGAGTTTTTTAAGGAGCGAAAGAAAAACTGAGATCTGAAAACGATAAGGCAAAATGTTTAATAAGCGAAAAACCGTTAAGCTGCCAGTGTTTTCTTTGACGCGCAGTGCATTTTACTGTATTATTCTAACAATGGAAAGGCGATGCCTGATGCTTATTGAATATTAACAGCAACGGATGGCCGAGTAGGGACACGCACATTATGCTCGAAAGTGTTCCCATTATTCCATTCCATAACTCCTTTAACTTTATCCTATTATTCTTAAAATTTTCCCCTATTCCCAAAATTACTCCACATCAAGTCGAACCAAGACCAAGAGAAAATAAGAACTTTACTAATATAATGGATGTGTAGCTGGAAATTTCGTCAAGATTTTCAATTTTATTTGAAATTTGCATATTGGTTAAAGAAACAAATAATGCATAACGTTATTAGTCCAAAAATTCTACGTACACGACGTATTCAGGGACGGTACACACATGCACGCCCCCGGCGCCAGCCTGTGGGCGGATGGTGCATATGCTAATTACGGAATTTACGTTGGCACGATGACGTCATACTGACACGTTTCCCTATTCCCGCTTTTGTCTATTATTCTTGGTTTCGAAAAAATCCCCTATTATTCTAAAAGAAATTCCAGCATAACATGTGTGTCCCTATGGCTGACAATTAAGTATAAAATATAAAGTTTCAAACGCACATAACTGTTGAACAAGTTTTTCGCCAGTCCCCGGTTATCCCCGGTGTATTCATATATAGTGGCTGTTATATCCCGGGTCAATTCCCCGGTTATAAAACATTTCGTTAATTCCACCGCCCTCCGGGGCATAGCATGTTAAATCCCCGCTAAATTTTGTTAATCCCCCGCTATGTCCTGGGGGTGGGGGATCCGTGGTTTCAAATGACTGAAGCATTATATTCACCTACAGCTAGGTGAATATAACAAAACTGAAATTTTTATAATCATAACCGATAATCACCTCGCCTTTGGCGAATAATTGTTAAGTATTGCTCTACAGTCTACACTACAGAGCACAGGATATAAAATATGCAAATTTTGTTTTGTCGCTATAAACACTGTGTTAGTATTTAGTATTTTTGCACAAGTGAACATAACAAACCCTACAACCTGATTGGTCAAATTTGACGTATTAAGCTGTTATAAGTGAATATAACAAAACTGAAATTTTCAAAATGGCGGCTAGCCGTTTTCTGGAAGTTTACTGATAAAGAAATAAGCGAAATTAAAATAAATTCAGTCCCAAAAACACAAAAGACTTGTGTAAAAATATTAAAACAATTATTCGCCTCAGGCTCGGTGATTATCGGGGAATATTCACCTCGACTTCGTCTCGGCGAATATTCCCCGATAATCATCTCGCCTTCGGCGAATAATTGTTAAATATTGATACGATCAATAATAGTCTACAAACTTTCTTTACAATTGTTTATTTGAATGATTTTATTCTGGCCGTTGTGTATTTTTTTAATTTAATGTAGTATAATCTTTGTGTTTTATTCAATCAAATTTCTTGCTTGTATTTGGCAGGATGGCTCGTATCTGGCAGAATTGCTTCTCTCAAAAGGATATATGGTACGCTACAACTTTTAAATATGGTGTAAAAATGTAAGAATGAAGCACATTGAAACGTTCAAAAAACCATGGATAGGCCACAGCTGTACTTGATAGTATACTTCTATCCCAGGGAGCGCTCACCAAAAACTTTACAAAACGGTATTTTCAGTTGTCGCACATGATTGTCTTTTTACCACACTTTTGTGCCGGAGTTTGACAATTCATGCTTGTGCAATTTTCTGCAGACTAAAGTTTCATGTTGTTTGCACATGCATGTGTACTTTCTTTGGAGACAGCATTTGTCTCCTGACAAATTGGAAAATGATCAAGATAGTGACGCGCTGATTGATTTATATATTGTATCGACATATGCATGACTGTTGACATTCATGCTTTTTAGTCTTCATGATCAATATTTGAGTGTCGTGTCAACAGAGTTCGTAGCGGTCTTTGAAATCCTTGAAAGTCTTTAAATTTTAATGCAGGTCTTTAAGGTCTTTTTAAAAAGTCTTTGAATTGTGTGAAAAAGCAAGGAAAGTCTTTAAATGTCTTTAAATTATTTAGTGAGGAATTGATTATATGATTTCTTAGCTAATAAAATAGATTGATTGAAGCAAGATTTTCGCAAATATGGACGAAAAGGCGCATTTTAGGATGTGATTTGACGGAACTAAGAAATGGTGCTTACACTCGCAATTTTTCGACAGCTGGTTGCTCTCAAAGACTAAAACTGTCTGTACCAGTGTTAGTAGTACCAAAGTGAAAATGCTATGCTGAGTGGTTATATTACTACCTTAAAAAATAAACAGAAACTCGACGTTTCGAGCGAAGGCCCTTCGTCAAGAGTTAGTGAGCACTAACTCTTGACGAAGGGCCTTCGCTCGAAACGTCGAGTTTCTGTTTATTTTTTAAGGTAGCAATATAACCACTCAACACAACATTTTGCTCTCAAAGGTCTTTAAAAACTCTTTGAAATTAGGTAGAAAAAATCCGTGAAAGTCTTTAAATTTTTTTGGTCTTGGAGACTACGAACCCTGAGTGAGTCATGCTTTGGAAATGACTATACATTTTTATTACACAACCCTTCACTCAAAATTTTGTTTACCCAACCCTTTTTTCTTCGGTGCCACTTCCCGCCATAAACGACGACCTTTGCTTTCGCTTTCTAGGTTCATGGCATTATAAGAAGGTCTAGCTCATTTAATTTGGGCAGAATACATCATTTATTTGACGATCCAAAGACCCACAGACATGAAGGTAAATTTTTTTATGTCAAACGTAAAAGCGAATTACACTGGAAATCTTATGCCAGTTGCATGAATTATCGTAAAAAAACAAATAGCATAAAAAATGTTCAATTCTTGTTGTATAGAATTAAGGTTACATTATGGAGATTTGACAGATAGCACAAATCTTGTTAAAATTATATCAGAGGTGGGTAATTCTTCAACATTGTACTGTAATAACTGGGAGGATCACCTAGTAATTTTATCTCCTGACAACACAAAAAGAACTCCAACATTTCCAACCTGATTCTCAGAGTTTTCACTTCCGCTACCCCCCGAAACCCGCTGCGGGTTTCGGGGGGTAGCGGAAGTGAAAATCCTGAGTATCAGGTCAGTACAACATTTTGAGGTAAACCTCTTTGTCTGGAAAACAGTAACTACGAAGAGTCTTCGTCGTCGCATCGACGTTTTGAGAAGTTCTTTTTGTATTTTTTAGGCACGTATATCTTCTACAGTGCTCACGTTTTAAATACATACTACCTATGCTACCTTACCACCCACCACTCGAGATTTTTTTAAAATTTTCAATGACAATATGCAATTCCAGCTTTTAATTTATATGTGTAGGGGAGGGTGGGAAGTAAGTTATCATCAGGGCTCGAATTTTATCGCGGCAATTGCCGTAGAGAGAGAACAAAATGCCGTGGATTATTGCGGCAACGACGGCAATTTTTTGCCGTATATAGCGCAATGTTTATACTATTCACTGTAGATAAAGCCCTATAAATAAAGCCCTGCCTGACATGAATACGCTATCAGTACATTGTATATCGCTATGGAACTAACAAATTTACAGAGTTACACTGTACGTACATAAAATTCAGTACAAATCATGTACTTTTACAAACAAAAGTTTATAAAACAAGAGCGACACATAGAACAAAATATTTTCCACGTCCTTGGTCTATTAACATCAAGAAGTGACAGTGTAGCGTGTTTGGAGTTTAGTTTTCAGCGACAGAGCAGTAAGAGCTAGACGATTACAATCACCCAAGGCTTCATGACCTTCATTGTTGATGCTCTGTCTTCTAGATTAAACCTCAAGAGATTTATAACTTGGGTGCAATGAGTCATGTGAAGGCAAGAATCGTAATAATATTTTATTAAAAAATTAATAATATACATAAAAATATTACTCGAATGTGATTGATTGATTGATTTCAGTGCAGTTAATCTCAAACAGCAGTGCAAAATCGATCTGATTGGTGGAAAAACAATGTGACGATAAAATCAACCAATCAGTTTAAAGCTAGTGGTATAACCGTAGGGTGTCTGGGTAGCCGACAGAGACGCCCCCCGCGCCAGGGGCCCCCGCAAAAATGACCGTGACATATCTGCTACTACATTGGGCAAACTGCCTCAAGCCTCAGTTATAGAAAGCCTAGAAATTTGCAACGAGTGGCTCTGAAAAGTTGGAATTTCCCCTTGTTTAAAGTTGAAACAGCCTTTTGATGTTCTTTTAGCCGCGTACCAAACTGGCGTTTAGACTGTCCCAAATACTCTTTCTCGCAGTCACCGCATGGTATAGAATATACAACATGAGTTTTCTGACTTGTTTTACTGTCGTTCCAATTGAAGTGTTGCTCAAATATTGATTCAATACATTACCTCGGGCTGACCAATTCATTTCATCAAGTTCCTCGAGATATTCATACACTTCCTAGTATAATTGTAAACTTCCTGTTGAATAGTTTGAATGCACCAATCACCTTTGTTGTTTGTGCAACTAACCAAACATAAATAGAAAGGAAGTGACCAGAAATTATCAAATACTTGGAATTGGCTCTTTCACAGGAAGTGTATGAATATCTCGAGGAACTTGATCAAATGAATTGGTCAGCCCGAGGTAATGTATTGAATCAATATTTGAGCAACACTTCAATTGGAACGACAGTAACAGGATTTTTCGACTTTGCGAAAATATGACCTACAGTAAAGTCAAATAGGGTTTTAGGACAAACTTAATATTACAATTTCTTAAGATTCTCTTGATTGGTTCTGTGACACCTCGAATGTAAGGAACTATTGCATAACCCTTGGCAGAGGTATCACCCTCGGAGTTATTTTGTTTCTTACAAACAGGTGGTCTCAGGCAATCATTGAGAAAACGTTTTGGGTAATCGTTTTTTTACTTATATTTGCAGGTGTCATTTGAACTAGCAGACTATACTGCTGAAGTAGATGCATTGGGTACATTGAGGATATTGGATGCAATCAAAACGTGCAATATGGAGAAGACCGTTCGTTTTTATCAGGTATAAAATTTTGACCAACTATGAAATACAAAAAAATGACGTAATTGTATTTCAGCTGTGTATACCTTAAGCGGTGACGTCACGATTAAAGTTTCAGCAAGCTTGCCCCGCATGGCAATATTTTACGCTGACAGGAACCAAACTAGACTTGTTAGTCGTCGACTCGTGTTATTTAGCTGTTATTTAAAAATCATAACAATGATTCAAAATACTAAACGAATTATTTTTATGAAATAAAAAATGGGGGTACCCGACCTTATTTTCAAGTTAAATAACTTTAAACCCAAGCTCTTCCGATCTATATTGAAGCGCCATTGTTGCCATAGCAACGGCAGTAGCGATTCCTTTTTTCCCGAAAAAATCCAACTCTGTAGTTATTGTTTTTCTAATCGGACTTTCTTTGCCTTTTATCATATAAGAATTGTTGAAAAATTGGGTCTAAATCGGAGATCTTCCACTTTTCTAGTAAACTGTAGGGAGCCACCTTAAGCTCGCTAATACGTTACGATGGGAGTCTACTTGTAGAATTAAACCAGTAATAGCCGAATAAAGATATGATCTGGAAACTCGGCAAACGTCCAAGTTTGTCTAATGGCTACGTTTTATGTTGCAACAGCTCCACCGTGTATAAATCGTTCAAAATTTCGCTTAATAATGTTTTTTCACGTACACTGAGTAACATTGAATGACTCGACGACTCGCGTCATGCATGAGATAATTGCTTCATTATGTCCAAACTACATTGTCTTCGTATACAAGTTTGTATAAACATAAACAAAAAGATAGAAGAAAGTCTTTAACAGAGGTTACAGACCATAGCTTGATTGACTATACATGGGCAAAGTATTATAGATATGAAGTCTCCAGCTTTTGGGTGGAGAGTCTATTTCATTTGCCATCAGCCATTAGGGACCGGTCATTATTTATGGTGGGGGGTGGCACCGAAGAGAAATGTTTTTCGTGGCAAAAATTTTGCTGACCCAACTATTAAAAAGACAAAAATTTGATTACCCAACCACAAATATCAATTAAAAAATAATTACCCACCCCTGGCCAAAAACGTTACAAAAATATACCATTCAGTTGTCACACATGCCCTTTACCACTTCTGTGACATGAGTTTGATAACGGCTTGTGAAATTTTCTGCAGTCTAAAATTTCATGTTGTCTGCACATGTAATTTCTTTGGAAACACCATTTGTTTTGTCAAAATGATCAAGATAGTGACTGTGATTGATTCACATATTGTATTGACAAATGACTGTTGAAATTGCTTTTCAATCAACAATATTTTGACAGTGAGTCATGTTTTTGAAATGACAATAAATTTTTATTACCCAACCCTTGAGTTGTTTTGTTTTCCATTTACCCAACCTTTTACTTACTCAAAATTTTGTTTACCCAACCCTTTTCTCTTCGGTGCCACCCCCCGCCATAAATAATGACCCGTCCCTTATCATAAAATTTATCATTGAAACATTAGTGAGATGTGTGATTAAATAACATCCCCTACCATCACGGTCGTTCATTCGACAGTCGTTCGATAAAAACCCCCGGCCAGCTGCTTATCACTGAAAGTTGACATCTCTGAAGTATAGTAGATTGATTGCTGCATGGTTGAAAATGACACAATACCTTTAATTTCAAACATTTGTAATTGGTTTCCAGGCATCTACCAGTGAAATGTATGGTAAAGTTGTAGAAATTCCACAGACAGAAAAAACACCTTTCTATCCAAGATCGCCATATGGTATTACATGATTTTTTGTTGTTGTAAATACACAGTAATATAGTTATTTTACTAACTCTAGTTCTCTTTTATTATAACGATGCAGCGTTACTGAACAGCTAAATGGCTATCATTTCATTCCTGCCGACATAATCACTTATCATCATCTGTTCAACGATGATACAGGTTTTCCCGAAAATACATAGTCACCCGGAATATCTTTTAAAATTTGAAGCCCTGAAATGCCATTTCCTGTATTCTATTAAGCACTGATAATTTTTTATTAAAATTTGTTATTTAAAATAAAATTACATCCAGTTTTCAAATGGAATAGGAATCGTCGATACAATAATTTGTTCCCATCGTCTTCTATTTGTTGCTTACTTATACCAAAGAAAAACAGTTTTTCAAATCTTATAAACATTATAAATATTTCAATGGGAAACAAAAACATTATTTTTAAAAAAATCATCCAGTATTGAAAAAGAAGAATTTGTTCGACTCCACTTTAATTACATATGCCTTATAAATTTTGTAGGTTGTGCCAAACTGTACGCCTATTGGATCACAGTTAACTTCAGAGAAGCCTATAACATGTTCGCATGCAACGGGATATTATTCAATCACGAAAGCCCAAGAAGAGGTAAAATGAAGACTAATATACGACAAGTTGATGAAAACGGGATACTGCATGTATATACAGAGCCCTTTTGCTTCAAAGTTTTCTTTCCACACAGTTTTTAACTGAAATGTTCCTTCATTAAATTTTCCATTACAGTCGATTTCACGACACTTTGACCACAATGTGCCGAACTTTGTTGCGAAGTTTGCAAGTTCGTTGCAAAGTATTCCGAACTTGGAATTCACAAGCCAATTTATAAACAAAGTCCCTGATTGGTCCCTGAAGTAAAAGAAGTCAATCAAATGCGCAGATTACAAACTGGTTTGTGAATCTCATTATGAACTTTTGAACTTCGCAATTAACGAACTTGCGAACTTCGCAACGAAGTTCGGAACATTTGTGGTCAAAGTTTCGTGAAATCGACTGTCGAGTCGACTGTATGTAACACGTTCTCCTGTTCCATTTTAGAGCCTTCATCAGGGAAACATTATACAATATATTCATCCGTTGTCAACATAAAATTGATTCGAGTGGAATTTGAACTCGCATATTCAACAAAACCAATTGAGCTATCGAGTCAACAGCATGGAATAACACAACTTCTAATCCATATTTAAGGGCACGAGATATTCTTGCGACTTGGCATTTTGAACAGTATTCTTGCGATGGAACAGTGCTCTATTTCACTTTTTTGCTTTTTATTTCTCATTCTAGGCTATAGTTGACTCGATATTGACTCGATCGAGGACTCTACTCGATAGTTGACGCGAATTCAAATCCCGCTTCAGTCAACTTTATGTTGACAATTAATGCAGTGTTGCATCGGTTTTTCTTGTGAATATATTGTATATAACTTTCTTCATTTCTACAGCTTTTTATCTCTTCCTTTAAGTGTTCACGCCATAATCTACGACAGGTATTCTTATAGACTTTAGACCTTTTCCTTCGTGAAGTTATAAAGAAATAAAAGTCAAAACATAAGTGAAACAACTGCTCAAGGATGTGGGATTTGGGAAAAAAAAAATGGATGGCTAGATAAGATATGAACTCAACGTACATGACCAGATAATGTAGAAATTCCTCGAATTTCAATATTTCAGATATCAAATTTCATTTATTATTCTTTAGTGTTTATCTCCTTCTTTTGAAATGTTCCCCTTTAGGTGAAACATTCGTCACAAGAAAAGTCACTCGAACAGTCGCGAAAATAAAATTGGGAATTCAGCCCGAGGTTTGTGACAAAATATTATAACGTGTTTACATACATAGTTTATTTCGTGGAAAATTGGAAACCTCGCGGTAGCACATGCATGGTCATGGCTGAACGGCAAAGTTTTAGTATATGTGCCTTTTGTCTCTCCACGAGGTGGGACGATCTCCTTCAGTCGCATGTGAGAAGCTTTCACTTTGACTCTATATCCGAGACTATTGCAACACCGGCAACAGTGGACAGCCTTTATACCGTAAAACTGAAACCTCGTCCAGCCCAATTACAAACTTTAGGCTTTAATTAAAGGACATTGGCAATAAAAAAATTCGTTTAGTTCATTTGAAAGAACTCTTAAAACTATACATTAAACTCTATTACAGATTTTTTATATCTTGATTAGTATTCAAAATATTTGGACTGAAAAAGTGAGCTGTTCGACATCTTGGATTATTGAGGATATGCATGTTACGTCAAGAGAGGAGTCACGCTAATTTTTTTACCTTGAGAGAAAGCGATCAATATGGGTTGGTTGCTGTCTGAAATTTAGAAATAATTAAAAACATTTCAAACAATTTTTACTCGGTCATTTTTGAGTAGTTTTATATGGTTAACCCAACTCCTGACGTGACGCCATCAAAACCATAGTTAATGAGGTCAAGAATTAGTCCAAGATGGCGGACGGCTCATTAATTTCGATCTAAATATTTCGAGAACTAAGCAAGATATGACAAATCGGTAATAGAGTTTGATATGTCATTTTAAGAGTTCTTTTGAATGAGACAAACCAAACTTTTATTGCCAATGTCCTTTAAAATATAATGACGATTAGCTCGTACTCAAAATTATAATATGGTTGGTTATGTCTTCATGTACCTTTTATGAATCTGATAAGCATACAGTGTACACATAAGTAAAATTGTCGTTTTTGAAATTTCTAGCTTCATATGGGAAATATAAATGCCGTACGCGACTGGGGACATGCAAAAGATTTCGTGGAGGTAACAGTGGTGCCTAAATTACTTTGAATTTGTACTCGAGTGAAAGTAGAAGTAATTAACAATAAAACAACTTGAGTAAGAGTAAAAAGTACTGGAAGTAAAACGTACTTAAAAGTACAAAGTATCCTTCAAAAATACTTGAATTACAAAGTAAAAGTAAAAGTACTATTGTCTGTGGCGTGTAAGGGGGGGGGACTTCTTCATTGATGGATTGAGATACAAAACAAACACAAAACAGCACACGCATTATAAATAAGCAATATTTCACGGCATGGTCTACTTTCCAGACCCCGCGTTGAAGATATAAGAAATCCATTAAATAAATCATACTTATAAGTAAGCCACAAACGAGAGATCCCAGACCCATGAACCTATCCCAAAATTAAAATAAGTCATGTAAAATTAAATAAAAGTTAGAAAGTAACGAAATACTTCTTTACTTCGAAAGTAAAGAAACGACTTCGTTCCAAGTAAAAGTTCTCCAGAAACAGTTTACTTTGTTACATGCTGACTTCTCAAAAATAGTACTCAAGTACAGTAACGAAGTAACTTTACTTCGTTACTTGACACCACTGAGAGATAACTGCATGGTTTTATCTTAATCCACAATTATGCTAAACCGAGCCGAAATAACACGGTATGGTTTGAGACGAATTAGGAAAAAAAAAATATGTGGGTTTCCGGTTTCTTCTTATAAAAACTTAGGTAGGGTAGGTCGGTTTTAACTTTTTTCCTAAACTTTTTTTTTTAATTTTCCGAACAAGCGGACGCCATTTTGTTTAGTCAGTGCTTCCACATCCAAAAATAAATTTCCCTAATATTGCCTCAAATTTCAATTTTCCACAAACTTTTTCCTCTAGGTGGAAACACTTATAAGCATAAATCCAATAAAAAAGTTTAGGGTCGGGATTTCGACGTCCAAAAGCTAGGTAGGGTCGGGAAACCGGAAACCCACATATTTTTTTTTGGCCTTATTGGCAAATTGTGCGCGCTTTTGACGAAAATGATAATAGACATATTTAGATCGAGGACGCGGATGTCAAAGACGACGTGAAAATGGCGTGGCATATCCATACATGGGCACAACACGCCATTTGGACGTCCTCGTTCTAAATCTTTGACGTCGCGTCCTCGATCTAAATCTGTCTAATATACCGCGAGTACGCAGACTACAGAGTTCCGACGTTCAGCCTTCCATTCCGTGAGGAAAGATCGATCTTAGCGGTACGATCGTATCGTATTTTACAGCGTAATGAGTATTAAGCAACACCGGTATTGCATGAGTATCTTCAACCTTTACGGCTGATGACAATTGATACCCCAAAGGCTAATGTATGATTTCAGTATACTTTTATTCTTATTTCTAACATGTCATTTTTCACAGCCTGATAATAGCTAGTGCCCCTAAATCTAATGCTTCTAAATCTGGAAATTTTTGGAATGCGTACTTCGGTAATTCGTCGATCAATTCGTCGATTCCGCATTGCAGTTGAATCGTAAGACGTGGCTGAGAAAGAAGAATTAAAATATGCATATCAAAATATGAAATTCAACTGTTGTTCAATCAATTAATGCGACTCACTGCATTGCGATGTGATTGGGACAATTATGCAAAGCTTGCTAAAAAATCAATAGGTTTTCGCACGGTACCTTGTCTCGCTTTAGCCTGCGAAAACAGCCGCTACTTTGCTGCCCCGTCGTCGTTATATTAATAACGACGTCGACGTTATATTAATAGGAGCAACAAAGTAGCGGCTGTTTTCGCAGGCTAGTCTCGCTTTAAATTACAAGAAAATAATCGTTTATGTGCACCGTATTTTTTTTCGCTTTACACAGCAGGCAAATACGCACGCAAGTATAAAATTTATTGAGTATTGTGATTATGCTTTGATGTGCATATTTTACTAAATTTTCCCAATCTCAGCTACATATTCAATTTTTACTGCAATTTTAGCTGCGACTTTCGTCTTCGAATGGATGTGAACGAGTGACTATAAGTTAGGAATGTTCAGACGAAGTAACATTTTCTCAGAACATTCGTTACTCATCTATGATCGTTTATATGCATCTGAAGAAGAAAAGCGCGGGAAATTAATGGATGATTCCAGGGACAGACTAAATTTTGATCAAGGCAAGAAGAACGAAATCCAACACCACAGCTAGAAAGAGCATCTTAGAATGAGTAAAATTGCGAAGATTGGTTGCTAAATGTTGTAAAATGTGGAAAATATAGCCTTGCGAAATTTCAGTGCAAATTTTGTATGAATTTGTATTACGCGCGGGAAAATGCACGAAAGTGGCGCATTTTCCCTTCCGTGATACAAATTAATACAAAATTAATACAACATTTTCAAATTTCTTAGGGCCATATTTTTCACATTTTACAACATTTCGAAACCAAACTTTGCAATTTTACTTATTTTGAGACGGTCTTTCCAGCTATGGTAATGGTTTTGTTCTTCTTGTTTAGATTATTTAGTCTATTGCCTTTATGATTCAGCTGCCATGCATTATTGTGTCGGCACACAGAATGCTTAATTTGGATGTGCAGCTCGACACAGCGAATTAGCTTATTATAAGTGTACTATAGAAATTTCCAACGCATGTAAGTTGATAATGAGGGGCGATGATTTTTTTAGGCGATGTGGCTAATGGTACAAAGCGACAAACCAAGTGATTACGTCATTGCTACGAATGAAGTTCACACCGTCAGAGAATTAATCGAAGTTTGCTTTCAACATGTTGATATGCCTATAGTGTAAGTTAAACGGTGAAACATTACATCCTTACGTACGACATTTTCGCTACCGAGTCTCGTTGTCGTGTATGTGACATCAGTTAAAGCCCAATGTCTCAATCCCAAAATCAAGGTTCTATAGCCAAAGTAACGTGTTTCCGGAAGGGCACGTGAATTGCATGTAACTCAGCAAGGGGTGTAGACTTGGGCAGCTTGCACGCGTAAGCCAACGCGAGATCTTCAAAACCTGGATTTTCTCCCATTTTTTACATGATTTCTTTGCATGCTTTCAAATTAATTTTATGCATGCTCGGACGTTTGCATAAATTCGAAATTCGCAAGCCAATTCCCAAAGGTCCTAACAGAGTTAGTAACAGCGTTTATTTACAAAATTGTTGACATGCAGTGTTTATTTACAAACAAAATCAATCTTCAACATGGGAGGGCACGTTGATGCATGGGAGGGACAACATGGTTCACTGGAGGGGCCAAAACAGGGGCTGGGGGACAAGTCTCTCCCAGTCTATGGTATTAAAAGAGGCCCTGCGCCTAGTAATTATTCGAGCAGCACGATTTTGTAATTTTTGTAGCTTTTCCAGTAAACCTTTACCGCATTTATCCCAGACAGCACTGAAATATTCGCACTGAATGTGAGAAATATGGACTTTGAAGCAAGTCTTAAAATATCACTTGGTCAATCCTACGGCTCTCTGATTGGATGAATTAATTGTGAGGTATAATCTTGAATTATAGTTTTGTCCTTTTACAGGTGGGAGGGAGAAGGGTTGAACGAAGTTGGGAAGGAAAAGTCAACTGGCGTTGTTCGCGTGCGAATAAAAGAACAATATTTTCGACCTTCGGAAGTGGTGAGTTGTGAATGATTATATTTATTGTAAAGGATATATCAGTATAAATTCTCACTAGGTCGCGATGTTACAATCCATTTATTAAAATGCAACATTTTTTTGTTTTAATGAAAAAATCAGTTATTTTCATGAGAACGATTTGTTATTCCATCTCAATTTTTTTAATCTCCAATCGCAATGACGTAAAGTATTATTACCCGCGAACCAATGAGTCAAA